CAATTTGCTCTCAGATTTCTTTGGACTTTCTTAAAGAAGCTTAAGCCTTCCTAGAAATCTTTAGATATAATGGCGACTGAACCGTTTTTCCTTGAATCCGCAGGGGTATTACGTTTCTTGGAAAGTGACATTATGTCGGATTTTCTTTGACATTTTCCTAAAAGACGTCAACTGGGAACTAGCTGTCGTTCACTGTATGCTCACTAACTTGTAGCAAGCGCGGAATGTACTATTTGCACACTAGCCTACTTAGTCAACAAGTCGACATCTTATCTGTCTTGTTTTTGGACATTATATAGGTTTTTGATATAATAACCCGCATGGATTACCTCGATCTTTCATATACTATATAATAATTTTAAAATTTTGTTTGTATATCCTCGACCTTAGATATATATATGTAACATATATAAAGAACATCAAATGATATACCATATTTAAGTAAGCTTCCAACTAAAGTGAAATACACTACTTTCAATGATTCAGTGTCAGTAAAAGATGTTGAATTTCTAAAAATAGTGTCTTGAAAATGATAGATTTGAAGTAACAGTCTTTTGCTTCCTATACTCTGTCAAGTTTGTGATTGCTCAGCAGTTTCAAATTCGACACTCAAGCAAGATTGCATATTTAGATAACTAACAAAATGCCGCTTAGATACTTTCGAAATTCGATGTACTTCCGGAGACAGACGGAATAAATCTAATTTTCCCAAAATCGTTTTAACTTCTTCCTGACTTCATTTGTAGCGGGATTTTAAAATAAATTCCACATTAACATTGCCATTCTTTCTACCCTAGAAGATGGCATAATTAGAATTTGAAATGACGTTTCGTCTCTTGTCATCCAGCATCACCTTTTTTCTTGGACGCCATGTTGGTCTTTTGCACAAATAAATAGAGTTTTTGATTCGGAATGCAAAAATGTACAATATGTCATACATTGACATTGACAAACCTTAGTTATTTTAAAAAGCAGAATGTCCTAGGTAGGCCTTGGAATGATTAGATAGTCATCTGTTTCGCATACCAGATTTGTCTCCAAATCACTTCTATTTTTTCCTGGCCTTATTTGAGATGGGATTTCAAAATAAATTGCTTGCTGTCATTGATACTTACTCTCTCTCCTCTACAGGATGGCGTAGTCTAATTTTTAATCCGACATTTCTTCTGTCGACTTCCATCATCAACTTTGTTTTTTCATATGGACGCTATATTAGAAATTTATACATTTCAATGGAGTTTTCTGTCCTAAATTCAATGATGTATTTCCTTAGTTGGCTAAGAATTTGCTGTTGGATGAAAATAAGAAAATAAAAAGGTATGGTGAAACATAAAATGCCAATTCTATTGACGGTAATAAGAATAATAGATAGGCAGATGTAAATCATTGCAGATGTTCAAAATGTTGTTCGTTATTTTGTAGGCAAAGCCCGACACTTCTCTGTACATTGTTCACTGCTCGATTTATTTCTGATCTTCTGAGTCTTCCGAACACTTTTGCTATGTTCAGTTTGACGTCTGGTCTGGTATACTAAACAAATAAAACCTGTTAGTTTCAAGGCCTACCGAGGAACTTCTGTTTTTATGGAATAACTAAGGTTCGGCAATGCTGATGTATGACATTTTTGAAATCAGAAATAAAATTGATGAGGACCAGAGACGAATCGTCATAAAGAAATTCTAATTACGCCATCTTGTAGAGGAGAAAAAGGAGCAATGTTGACATGCAATTTATTTTGGAACCCTGCCTCAAATAAAGTTTGGAAAAATAAAAGTGATTTTGAGATACATCTTGTATGCCAAACAAATGACTATTTGATGATTTCAAGGCCTACCTAGGAAATTATACTCTTCTTAAAATAAGTAAGGTTTGACAATGGTAATGTATGACGTATAATAAATTTTTGGAATCAAATTTGAAAACCCTGTTTACCTGTGCAAACATCTAACATGGTGTCCATAAGAAAAAATAAAGTTTATGCTGGAGGACAAGAGACGAAACGTCATATTGAAATTCTAATTAAGCCATCTTATAGAGCTGAAAAAGCGGCAATGTCAATATGCAATTTATTTTAAACTCCCACTACAAATAAAGATAGTAAAAAATTAAAACGATTTTGGGAAAAGTAATGTGAATTTCGAAACTTTCTGACCTGTACTAATTCCTGGTAATGGTCATTACACTTGTTGGGATTTAAGCATTAGATCTCTATTATTAATAAGAAAATTTTTAGGTCATCCGCAAACATTTGGTTTTCTACAGTTATTACATGATTATATATATATATATATATATATATATATATATCATTAACAAAAATCGAAAATAGTAGGGGATACAAGCTAGTATCTTGTTGCACTTTCGTTATTCTATATATGATTCTGATTTGAAGCCGTCTTCGATCAAATGCCTTTGAGAACTCCGTAAATATAACGACAACTTGTTGTTGTTGATCAACATGAAGCGATAGATAAATCATGACGCAGCATAAGTTGGTTGTGGATCATTGGTTCCTAAACCCATGTTGTTTTTCTGATTTACTGATACTATGATACTAGGTGAGAGAGAACTAAAAATTAGACTAACCTAACTTACATTCTGATGGTTGATTTTCATATATACTTTGTAAAACATTATTCAGCTTTGCAAGGCACCTCTTGGCCATAACTTCTGCTGAATGCTTTATACAAGGTGTCCGGCTATAAATTGTATGGGGGTTTTAAGTGTTGAACAAATTGTTCTTCCAAAACTAATCTGCAGCAAAAATTTTTCTTACTCTTACGTAGTGTCAAAAATAGGGGTTTCATTTACGAAACAACCTCGACCTCCAAATGACCTTGAATGTCATATTCAAGATCACTTCCGAGATCATCAATAGATGAATCTTTTCAAACCTTAGAACTTTGCTCTACAACATTTTTTTCTAGGAAACATGTTTTTTAGAGGTATTTTGATCTATCCATACTTTTCTAACACTTCGCATATTTTGGCGGATAAAACCATGCCTATAACCTTCCTCAGATTTCAATTAGTCTCTCCGTATAGTGATTCAGTCGAGATGCTGACAGACTGCACAAACATTCACATTTAAATGTAAATATTTGTAAAATGAACAAAATAATAGAGGCGTCACTTGTATATACAACTCCTTTGCCATAAATGATTAGTTGCGATAGAAAGTACCTGACAGCAAATGAAAGTAAATTGCTCTATACCTCCATGTAACGTACTCCGTACATGCACATCTATCATAACGGAGCTTGTGTTTCTGCCGGCTTGAACAAGCTACAATAATTGTTTAACCTTTGTAATTAAGAGAGTATTTCCGGTAGGACACTCGCTCATAATACTTCTCTAGCATGCGACACTAAATTCAGAGAACAACATGGCAGTATGATCAGGTTTTATCTGAATTATACCTGCTTTAGAGAAGAGGGCTATTGTTGACCTCTCAGCGGAACTGGAAAATCCCGTCCAACTAGATGTTCCAAAGCTTACCAACTCCAGTAAAAGAAAGCTTTACCAAGCTTAGTAGGGAATGCAGTCAAATAAAGAAAAGTTTTCAAGAATACTTGCTAGGGAATGGCAGGTAAAATAAAAGAAGCTTCCAAATTACTGCTGGGATGTATTTCAAAATAAAAAAGCTTGCCAAAGAACTGCTAGGAAATGGTGTACAATAAATAAAGCTTTACAAGATACTGCTAGGGAATGACAGGTAAAAAAAGAACGTCAGATTACTGCTAGGGAATAGCGGTAAAAAAAGAAAAGCTTACAAAATACTTCAGGTAATCGCGTAAATAAGAAACTTACAAGAATGACTTCTAGGGATAGCAGGTAAATAAAGAAAAGCTACCAGAATACTTGCTAGGGAAAGCAGGTAAATAAAGAACCAAGAATAAGTGTAGGGGAATAGCAGGTAAAATAAGAAAAGCTTACAGAATGTAGGGGATAGCGGTTATCGTGTCGTGTTAAAATGCACGTTATTAGCACGTCCCAAATTTTTTTTGATAACATATTGGTTAGACTCTTTCAAAGAGGAAAGATTTTATAACCTCCTATGGATTTGATTATTAGTTGAAGCATCGGGTATTTTATCTGGAAAAACACTAGTTTGACAGCTTCCACGTCTATCTTGAAAAGCGGTGTAGTGGATTTTGTGTTAAAAATTTATATTATCATCAAATTCAACTTAATGCTCCAAAATGTACTTTTACTGAAAAAAAAAATTGATAGCACACCCTGTTATATTGGATTTAACTCTTTGTAAGCTTTTCACAGATATGTATGATGGCTATGTGCAAAGTTTTTGAGTTATTTCAAATTGTTCGTAAAGTGCATACTCTGACTAAAGAAATCACACTTTCCATGGAAACAAAAGATACTTAGTAGATTTGTAATTATAACTGAATATTCTTAATTCATTAAAACTAAACTTTTCAGTTCATGTTAATTATGATGAAATGTAAGATTGTGAGTCGGATTTGACTGAAATGAGTGTAATTTTATATGTTAAAGTACGACTGAAACAATATTTTGAACCTAAAATTATATCAGGGACACTGCGGTCGGTTTGGTGAATGAGCAAACAATTGTCATCTTATCTCACTAATCTACACGTAGTAAAAGCACTACATGGTGGAGCTGATAAAATAGGCAAACTTCAACATTAGCAGTGATTCCGATACTTAAAATCAGACAAAATATTACATTTTCAGTACTAATTGCAATAATGGATATGATCTGAAGAACTAAGATCTAAGGAATCCTTTTAATATTTTCTAGTACGGACTTTCTTGTATCAAAACATGTATTATCTTTCCTACATTCTGTGCGGTAGCTGGTTATGCGGTTGTCGAGTCTATTTAATGAAGAATCTACTACAACTGAAAAATTAGTGACACCCCTTGACTTTCATATCACCTTGTGAGAAGTAAAATAGAAGAGTTTGGATACAGGGTGTTTGATCTTTTTTTTTTTAGAAAAAGTAAAATAATACTTACTCCGTCACTGCATGGTTGGGACATCCTGCATGTTCAGGCAACGTAACCTCGACATTTTCATCAGCTTTCCTTTCTCCATCACCCCTGCATGTAAAATGCTGTTATCTACTTCAAATAACTATGCGCTTATCACTCAAAATGTGTGATGCAAGCTGCGATTCCCTTAGAAATATTGCTTGAAAGTTTCACAATAAAAGCAGCTTTCAACAATTATAGTGTCATCTTCACATCAAATACCCTTAGCAACGCTTAGTCGTTGTAATGATCGAATGTTCTGCTGTGTTGGTATCATCAGCGTTTGCTGCTTATATCGCAATAAGGAATTAATCTACAGAAGGACGTATGTTGTACAGTTAATGAACATGGAGTATGATAATTACAATCGTGAATTATAAACACTGCATGATCTTCTACCAAACGGAGTCAGGCAGACTGGCTGGAAGATTTTCGAAGCACTTCCTTGACACATCATTACAAAATAAACTTTAACAGGTACGTAATGGTAACTTTTGTAGTAGCTCTTTTGGAATATATTTAGTTATCTTCGTTGGTATTGCTAGATTTAGCGTAACGTATTATGATAATATTGTTGCGCGTTTCTTCAAAGTGTCAACGAACTCGTTGAACAAAGCTCTATTCAATTGCTGCTTAAAAAAGATCCTTGAAATAATGAGTGAAGATATGACTTATAAAAGCTCAGATTATCTATTAAAAACAACTGAATATCGCTTCCGGTTTGACCGGAAGTGAATATGAAACAAGAATTTTAAATAGGACCCTGTATATATTCTTACATATTTCCATAGAGCATAAAATTATCTTTTCTACGATGTATCACAAGTTGTCATTCTTTTTCGAAATGGCGTCATGAATGGCATTTATTCCAAATTCAATATGGCGGCGTTTTAGCAGTATCTATGTTTTTTGCCAAACTACCCGCTAATTTAAGAGGCAAAAGTGATTCTCTTGCCGCTTCCACAAACAAATTGTCATACATTTAGGACCACTTTTACTTTTACTTGGAATGTCAAATTGTATTTAAAATTTTCTCAGAATTTTGAATAGGAAACGGAACTTTCTTTTGATTTTTTTTATTTCTAACGATATCAAGAACAATAACGGAAATTCGCACAGTAAAACCTAAGCAACAAAAGTAACTAAATAACAAATAACTTAGCAGATAAATCACTAATTAGAAATTAGGAAAAATCATTCAATTAAGTGTTCTATGCGTTGTCAGCCGAGTTGTTGACATAATCTTATTCTTTTGATGTTTTCTTTTAAATAGTCCAAGATTGAAAATCCTTGCAGGCCAACGGTTTGGTCTGTTGGTTGCTAGCTAATTTCCACCAAATTGCTCATTTAAATAATTAGTTACAACCCTAGAGTTGTGGGGGCAGAGGCGCCGTCACGCTGCTATTATAAATGTTTGTTGTTCTGCAGATTTTATATAAAATGTTCTATTTAGTTTTGAAAAAAATCCAAGTGCATATCACCATTTAACGGTTGATAGAAAAATATAGGACTAATGATATTAAGCTCTGCTACGCCTAACCAATCATTGACTCCAAAACGTTCCTGGAAGGCACCTTCTCTCACCAGCCTTTGGTTCTCCTTAGCTCAATACCGAGTATCGCTTGATTAGAGATCCATGGATACATCCGAAAAAATAATATGGTGATGGAAGACAGCATTTATGTTCAGATTATTCAAATACCAGTTGCAATAATTAAGCCGTCTTGGAAATTCATTTTGAAACAGATGGTGATGAATTTGATTTTTAAGAAGATTTAAAGCCATGTTTCTTTAAATTTTTTCTTGCGCTTTCGTGAGAAATTGGGCACTGCTCACATATTTAATAATAATAATAATAATAATAATAATAATAATTATAATAATAATAATGTCTTTATTAATCCCTCCACACTGCTAGGCGAAGGTTAGCCAGCTGGCTACTCTACCACTTAACCTCACATTTCGCGAGAATAAGCAGTACGATCATATTCTACGTATGCTAGGACATTTATTTCGACTTCTTCGTTTACTATAAAACCATTACCATTAACAGGATCGATATGTTGATTTTTCAAACGTTCTACGTGCCAAGGATAACGAGACAGATAGTTGACAGTAATTCTGAAGGCTTCCCCCTTAATTTGTTTCCAAAGCACCTCCAGATCTCCGTGCAAACCACTGGAATATTCGTCCCCGTTGATTATAACAGCTCTGGCTTTTTAAAATAAAGAAAAGAAAACAAAATAATTATAATAAGAAATAAAAATCATAGAAATGTTTTGTCAAGTGATTACGTAAATACCTATTAACTGTGCTTGGGTAATAAAAAATACTAATTTTCTAATTAGTTATAATGCATGATATAGCTCTTCAAAATTTCCCAGCTTTTTTTCTCTAAGACTAGTTCCTTATAGTGGAATTTTTTTTAGAGATAATCCGACATATTTTATTAGTGGTATTTAGAAATCCCGTTTTCTATTCAAAACTCTGAGAAAATTTGAAATACATTTTGACGTTTCAAGCAAAAACTAAAATGCCCGCAAATGTATTATATTTTTTTTTGTTTTGCCATCTCAATACAGAAGCTGCAAGAGAATCGATTTTGCCTCTTATTTGATAGGCTTTCTCAAAACGCCGCCATAAAGAATTTAGCGTAAATGCCATTTACGTTACCATTTTCAAAAAGAATGACAACTGGTGATAAATTGTTGAAAAGGGAATTTTAAGCTTTATGAAAATATGTAAAAATATTTAGAGCGTTTTATTTAAAATTCTTCTTTCCTAATCATTTCCGGTCAAACTGGAAGCGATAATCAGTTTTTTAATGGATAATCTGAGATGTTATATGTAATATCTTCACACTAAATTTCAAGGTTCTCCTTTAAACAGCAATTGAATAGTGCCTTGTACGATTTCGTTGATACCCGGTGTACTAATTAGCAGGCTGTTCAAGTTTCAACTTCCTTTAAGATATGGAATCTCTTCATGTAAAATAACTAACATCCCGAATACTCTTGTATATACATAGGCTTTATCGGGTAGTCCATAAGGATATAAGAAAATGTTCGTAAAATTGTGAAAGGAACCACCAGGGCACGGGCGGGGAAATTCTGCTCAGGTATTATGAAAGAGACATAAGGACAAAACTACCAGTGTTAACTAAATCAACGATGAGGCCTTTGACCCTAGTAGAACGGGTTCCACGCCGGTTCTGCAAAAAGCACGAGGAAGCTTCTGTGTACCTTTTGTGTATTTCATTTCATGAGTACAAGAGCTTAATGCTACTTGCTAAGTGGTTGGTCATGACTATAAAGATCAGAGCTGCATACGGTGCTTCAGCAATCTAGTCTGTTTCACACATTAGGTAGTCCGAAGAAGGATGGAATCCTTATAATCGTGGAATGTTTACTAAAGTTGCGGCAAGTGATAGAGAAATGGAACCACAATTCCTACAAAGCATCCCATTGGTTCAAGTCTAGCTGTTGCCTCCTGCGATCTGGCTCTTCTCACTCACGGAGGAGATGAAAGGTCGACTTTTCCACATTGCTTATAGTGAGATTTCGTCACACAACTCTCTACAGCATTTTAAATGCTACTAGACCACTCTGTAGTACAATTGTATTGTAAGCAAAATCATAGGTTTCTGTTGCGACATGAGAAATATCGCACACGCATACACAAGTACTCGCACCAGCAATCTAATGCAATGATACCAGTTATAACGAGCTCCAAACTCAGATATATCTGAATTTATTTAGAAAGTGAGCGCATAATAGACGAGTAGTCGTTTCAAATGAACTATCATTAGGATCCTGGTAGAAAAAGCCGCTCGGTTAGTGCAGTAGGTCTTTAAATACAATCAGACACCAGATCAACTTCATAAAACTCCGTCCATAGCAACATTTCTTGCAGGCTCATGTTCCACGGACGAGATGTAGGGGGAAGTTGAGTCTGTATTCTACTCCCAGGAAAGTAATGAGAGCCACATTGTCCATGAAGTACCCTATCTAGAAGATGCTGACAAAAAGTGGTAACCGCGACTAGCAGAGGATAAAGGCAATGGACGCTCAAAGCACCAGATATAGATAATTCAAAAACGAAATTAGAGTATACAGTATCTTTGATGCACTTAATTCATGTAGAACACAAAAAACAATGTGACAGGTCCTAAAGGGCACCTCTACTGATATACAGACCTCTTATCTCTCCTTTCCAGACATCACAGTAAGTCATACTGATTACACAACTTAAGTCGATTTATGAACTGTGAGATCCCGCACAACTGCCGTAGCGTGGCCGTAACGCAGAACTTCAGTCATGCGCTTGACGTTAAACTGTTTATATACAGGAATTCCGCAACACTATAGTGCACATAGAAAGCCTGATCTTTTTGATAAAAATGTACTGACAATAATAAAATGTACAGTCTTTGAGAAGTCTTATTTCTATACCATTTCTATCGACTTATACTGTACGGTCGATTCTTCTAAAACTTGAGGAAAGAGCTAAAACTATGATATAAGGATTAACTGCTGCTGCTAGTTCTCCAACTCATCGGCAGAGATCGGCTTATCACTCTGAACTTCTGCATGTAAAGTGATGACATCAGCAAGGCTGACGATTGGATTGATCGTACAGGAAAGAAGGTCGTTCATATGTTACAGGAAAAATGTCGGAAAGGAAATCAGCTACTCATCTGCAAAGCTTCTCTGGGAGGCCATAGGATGAAAGGTTGCATAAGAAGGTACCATCCTACATCTGGTCGAATGATAGTAGGTCCCCCGTGGATCGCTGGTGCCGGAAACCGTACTGCCTGTCGCTAATCAAAGAGCTATAGGCCTGTAGTTATAAGGATCGGTCTTAGATCCTTTTCTGAGATGGGTTGGATATGAGCAAATTTCTGAGAAAGTGCCGGATGCATAAGATATCCCGAAGAAGCTGGAGCAAGCTCGGCTGCACTGCTCTTGCGGTTTAACCTGAAGGCTTAACCTTGCAAACTTCTTGCGAACAAACCCAGTAAAGAATTATTAAATTGAGAAGGAATATATGAAAAATAGAGCTTGTCCTCG